CGACGAGTTTGGCAAGGTTGGAGGGCAACAGATTGCTGCCATGGTTCCCTTACTCGCGCCGCCTAGACGAGTCGAAGCTTGGCAGAATGAGGTCAATTTGAGGAGAACTGCGGCCACTAGTAGTGTCACAATAGGGGTACCGCGCAGGCCCTCAGAAGTCAGAGAAATTTGTCTGATTTGCTTGAAAAAGTCTGAGATTGCAGACCTTTTTATAGGAGTACTCTGAGAAATTCAGATTTTTTTTGGCTTCAACTCTGTACAAATCATATTTTTTTATAGGCTGACTCTGAGATTTCAGAGTTTCCCGTGAGTGTACTCTGAGGAATTCAGAGTACAAACGAGTACCGACTCTGATTGTGACTACCTGTGCACCGACACCCAGGATTACCGGTGGTACATTGTACCTGTACAGTCAATCACGCGAAATCTGTGCCAACTGTCAAGTTCTGTAGGCGACGCCACCCTGCGGCGCGGTGTTTCCCTCGTACAGCTGGATGATTCCCCTGCCCTGCGGCGCGATGTTTCCCACGCTGTAAGCTCCAGCACACACTCTGTTAGAGCATTGATTGGTCCGTTTGGCAGCTTTTGACTGCCATCACGAACCCCACCACCACCAGTGTCCACAATGCTGCAGCAGTTGCCACCCACGTAAAGGTGATGGCAAGCAGACGTTGCCAAGAACACCCGTTAATTGGTCCCTTTGGCAGCATCGTGCACGGCAGACGCGCCTCGTCGTTGCCGTGCATGCTAGGCAACCACCCACCAGAGGCATGGATGGCCCACAGTCAGTTATAGAGCCATCCTCTACGAGCTAGGGTTTCATCCCCATCCCTCAGCTCAGCTTCAATTCACGGGGCCCCTCCACTGCCCAGTTCAGTAGCCTCAGAACCGCCTCTCGTACCTGCTCGGCAGGCTCTCTCAACTCTTCGACATGGCTCAGCCCGACAATCCCGCTACCTCCGATGACGACGACACTGATTCGCAGCCTGCGTTAACAGGCTTGGATTTTTTGCTCAGTCACCTAGCTCTAAAGAAGGCAGCACGCGCCGAGCCCGATTGTATCCCCACCTTGAAGGAACCTCCAGCACCCGTGATCTCAAGTCCCGACCCTGTGGCAGAGACACGTGCGGAACCAACAGTTGTTTCGGCATCGCACCATCCCGCTCAGACCACGGCGCGATCCATCCGGCTCAAGCAGGTGACATTGAGCTTTGCCAGGCCTTCATCCTTGACCGCCGATGTCAACAATTCTCCAGGCTCGTCTGAACGTCCGCGACCTCGCCTCACCATAAACCTGGCCGAGCTCATTGAAGGGCTGTACGATAATGCCATTGACAAGTTCAAGAGTCAGTGGCAAGCGCGGTTTCCCTGGCTGCAAATCACCAAAACCACCTCCGGCTTGCCTGCCTTCAGGTGTACTGTGTGTGCAGCTTATGCTGGCGATGGAGGCAAGTGCGGGAGACGCGGGAAAGGAGCCACGGACTTGCAGACCCAATCGTTCCGTAAGTACGCGGGCACGGCTAAGCACAAGCTGGCGATGGCGAGACAAACAGCTATGCAGGAGTGCGGAGCGAGGCAGCCGCAGATCGACCAACATCGCGCCACCATGGACGGAGAGCAGTCGCGCGTCGTCGCCCTTCTCGACTCCCTGCTGTTCATCAGCAGGTCCGATGCGCCGATGGGGATGTGGGTGAAGCTTGTGCGTTACCTGGCGGAGAAGGGCGTGCCTGGCTTCCCGAAGAAGGGCTATGGCACCTACTACACCACGTGAGTGCAATTGCCCGAAGTTATTTGATGCATTTTGTTGTGTCAGTGATAGTCCAGAGGTTAATTTTACTGTTTCCTTGTGCATGCAGGTACGGTTTCGGGGAGCTGACGCAAGCGACTGCGACATGGCTCCAGACAACCCAGCTGGAACACGTGCTGACATCGCCCTTCGTCGGCATCGCTATTGACGAGAGCACGGATAGGTGCAGCGGAAAGCACCTGATCCTCTTCATCTCTTTCATCCGTGACAACAAGCTTGTCACGGAGTTCATGGCTCTTCTTACCGTGGAGAAGGCCGATGCATCTTCCCTCCTCAGTGTTCTGTTGTCACACCTGCAGGCTGTCGGGGTCGACCTTCAGCGCATAGCGGGGATCAGCACCGACGGTGCCAACGTCATGATGGGCAGCAATTCCGGCCTCACCACACGCCTCCGACTGCGCATCCCCCATCTGGTGTCATCCCACTGTATCGCGGTATATGTTTTTCATTTGTTATTTGTTTAGCGTCTTTAAGATTGTTTGTTTTCCAGATGTACTAATGATGTTTGCATCTTGTGTACAGGGAGGCACTCGCGGCCAAAACGGCGGCCGTGAAGGTTCCAGTGTTCAATGTCATTGACTCGGTGATTCGCACCGTGGCAGAGCATCTCGGCCGTTCGGGCCCTTGGCATCAACGGTTCATGGGGCTCCCAGAAGTCTTCGCGTCAACCTCTCTTGAGCTCCAGGGCATTCATTCCGTCCGGTGGCTTTCGCGGGGCGACGTAGTGCTCAGGCTTGTCGCGGTGCTTCCGGCACTCATCGTGATGCTTAAGGAGTGGGACGCTAACCTCTATGCTTTGGTTACGAGTTACAGGTTTCATTTCCTTCTCTTCTTCATTGCTGATGTGCTTGAGCAGCTCAACATCCTGAACTGGGTGTTCCAGCAAAAGGAGGTGAGGTTGGCCATAGTTGTTTGTTAATGTCTTGTTGCAGTCGCCACTTGTACGTGTGTTCATGTTTGTTAGCCCTGATCAACCACTAACTACCGTTTTTTTTTGTTTCCTGTCCAGCTTGACTATCCCGGCGTGCATGCGCAGATCAAGCGCACAACCTCCCACATCGAGAGGCGTTACGTTGATTGCGGCGACGACTTCGGTGGCGGGGTGAGCGAGCTGCTGTCCCCCTTCACGGCCGTCCAGCACGCTTCAAATTCACGCTGCATGAGGACGAGCTGGAGGAGTTCGCAGGGCCCGGGAGCCATGACGACTGCGTGGCACTCTGCACGGAATTCGCGGAGGTGATTGTTCAACAGCTCGAGCATCGGCTAGGCGACCTGGATGGGATGTCCGGGGTGAAGCTGTTCCTGCCAGACGAGTACCCGCTGGATCGAGCCGAGAGGAAACGGCGGTGCCTTCAGTGGCTACAGTCGCTGGTCACCTTGTTCAAGGCCGACCTGACGGAGGAGATCGTGCCAGGTAAGCCTTATCATCCTGCTTCGTTGCTCTGCTTGTGTACTGTGCGATGCTTCAATCAATGTGTTTGATTATGTTCTATCGTTGTTTGTGTTTGTTTACTCATTCCAATCTGTTTATCCAATCCCGCCAGGAGTCAACAAGCACCCTAGGAGCTGCGCATGTTTACCTCGGTGCTTGCAGCCTCTACCAAGGGCGAGCGCTGCTTCCATGCGGGACTCACAGCCATGCTCAAGACGCCGGACTGGCGGGACAACAACCCCAACCTTGTTCATCTGTGGGTGGCGGTAGCTGTCCTGTCGCTGAGCACCGTGGAGTGCGAGCGTGGGTTTTCGAGGCAGAACATTATCAAGTCGTGGAAGAGAGGCTCACTGAAGGATGCACGGCTGGGCGACCTCATGTGCATGAGCCTCCTGGACTACGAGCCCAACTGGGAGGAGATCGTGACAATTTGGAGGGCCTACAAGAAGCGCAAGCCCCACAGCAACGCTTCTCTCCCGCCTGCAGGAAAGCAACAGAACAGGGCCAAGGAGGCAGAGGAGGTGATGGAAGTAGAAGACATAGAGAAGGATGATGATGATGCATCCGATGGTGATGATGATGGATTTGATGAGTAGAGTAGATAGGATAGGATATATATAGCTACAAGCTAGGTAGTAGTAGTATGACTCTGTTATGTGCTAGGGTGTATGTTGTAGGCCAGCCTTATGTAGTTGAAAAACACTTTAAATACACCACACCAGCACTTAATCAGACTTATCATTGGGGTAAACTCTGATTGCTTCAGACTTTTTTTTAAAGACACTGAAGTTTCAGCCTTTGTTTCAAACCTAGTCTGATCAAATCAGACTAACATAGTGTACTAAGTCTGACAAATCAGACAGGCAAAAAACGAATCTGAGGGCCTGGTACCGCGTTACCTAGATAAGCCTCGTTCTAGGCTAGAGACTTGGAATTCGACCCTCAGGGCGTGTCCAGCGCGTACACTTTGGGATTTTTACTTAATTTTAATGTATGTTGAATCACTCACAGAAACAGTACCGCCAGGTGTACCCTTCTGGTTTCGCGTCCAAAAATGTGCGGAAAGACATAATTCGCCCCTCAGCACAAGCCGAACATCATGTTGCGCGACATTGGCGACAGCACAACTCTGTAACCAGAAGGGTGGCAATTCGATTCCCATAAATATTCGCAAGATTCAGTTTCACGAAAACCCCAGATTCTCACGAAATTCGGCCTTGACTTCGCTGACCGTCACTGTAGCAACGTGGACGCGTGCAAGTCTGATTCTGAGGTTTGTTACGTGCGTTTCCCGTCATGTTAACGATTCGGCGCACGTGTGGGCTGTTACTGGTTTTACGCATCATAGGTGTTCGTGTCCAAAAAAGATGTAAGAATGTGGTTACAATTCGAAAAAGTGGTAACTGTAGCGCGAGGTGAGCTGTAAACGTACGCGCTGGACACGCCCTCAACATGCAGATTCGCTTGCTGACCTCGTCCCTCCAAAATGGTTCCCAGATACCAGGAAAGCTGTTACGATACATTAAAATTTATGTAGCATCTGTATCACATAAGTTCAGAAAAACTGAATCCAAATCTAAATGTGCAAGAAAGTGGACGGCATCTGCTTCCTTGCTTCGTCGGCCAGATCTCGTTTAGGGGCTAAGGGAGCCGTGGCATGTATCTTAACATATGTACACTTATCAAAATCAGGCAGTACCAACACTAATGTCTCCTATTTTCCACTAGGTTTCACCGCGACAAGACTATTACCTCTATAAATCAATGATTGCGATATACACCGTCACCAAATTCCTCGTCGCACAGCTCCGAGATTCCTTTGCACATGTAGTCGCGCTGAATGCCGCATGCCTCGCTCTCATCAAAGTGGTCAAAGAACCCCGCCCCCGACGTCAGCCAGCATGGGTTTAAGTCCCCCGGCTTGGCCGTGATTTGCCTAGTGGGATGGCAGGCAATCGAATGGGCAGCAAGGAAGCATGAGTGAGCTGCCCTTGATTTGATTCCATTATTATCAACTTTTGTCTTCAAGCAGCACTTGAATTTGACTGGCTGTCCTTCAAGGCAGTGGAAGCAGCACAGCACCCACTCGGGACGTACAAAACTATCCCAATTGAAGCACAGCGAGAAGAAAAAAACCAGCCTAGCATCCATAAAACACATGGGAATGGATTCATAGAATACACTGCTCAGATGTGCATCTAGCCGTGCCATATGCGGTTGTAGGGAACATGGATCTCACCACTCCTGGTCGTCGATCATGCTCTCCGTCATCCCAAACGCCCTCAGCTCCTCCCGACTGTGATGCATGCGCAGGCTGTACCTGTGAGGGGACGTGGATGGGCGAGTGAGTGTGGGGAGGGGGACGGGTGAAGGGGTGTGCAAGGGTGAGTGAGAAGGGCGGGAGGAGACGGGTGAGTGAGAGGGGGTGTGCACGGGTGAGTGAGAAGGGCGGGGGGGAGACGGGTGAGTTGGAGGGCGTGTAGACGGGTGAAGCCCTAAGCTCCTCGCGGCTATGGTGCATGTGCAGGCTGTACCTGTGGGGAACGTGGATGGGTGGGTGAGATAGGATGCACAGAGGGAAGTGAGAGGGGGAGTGCACAGACGAGTGACGGGATGTGCACAGGTGCGAGGAGTGGGTCAGGTCAGGTCAGGTTAAGAGGAGGAGATAGGAGAGGAGGAAAAGAGGAGAAGAAGCTGCAAGGTGCGTGCATGAGGGTCGAGTGCATGTGCGTGAATGAGAGAGCATGATCAGCACCCCATACACACATACCTGCCGCCCGGGCCGAGCTGCATGATCATGCAGCCGGCATTGGGGAAGCTATAGAGTCCCACAACTGCTCCGCTGTCCACTGGTACCAACGCGCACAACATGCCATTACTCAGTTCTCAACCACCGAAAGACAAGCCATAGCGCACTGCCACCCCGACCACTCAACAGACAACGTACCTGCCGCCCGGCCCCAGCTGCATGATCATGCAGCCGGCGTTGGGGAAGTTGTAGAGCCCTTCGAACTGCTCCACTGTCCACTTGTACCAACGCATGAGGAAGACGCGCAGGGTGAGCCCGTGCGACACCAGCACGAGGTTCATGTTGCGCGCTGCTGCCTCCTCCCTCTGAAACCGCCCCACGTCTATGTCCGCCCTCAGCGTCTCCCGGAAGCCTGGCAAGTGGGGATGGGGGATTGCGGAGGGGGTTGTGTGAGGAGGGGTGGAGGGATGTGGGATGGGGGGGTAGGAGACAAACGGGCTGCCGCGTCCTCCCTCTGGAACCGCCCCACGGCTTTGTCCGCCCTCAGCGTCTCCCGGACGCCTGGCGTGCCGGGTGGGGGAGATGTTGGACGCACGAATGCAGTGCTTGCATGGCATGAGGAGCAGTCTGGGATTCAGGCTGAACGGAGTGGCTTACAGTGCCAACGAGAGCCACGCAGGCGGAGTGGCTTACAGCGCACCAAAAAGCTTACCTGTGACGCGGTCGAATACATCGGCAGCAGACTCGCCATCGGGGAAGCGGTAGAAGAAGCGACCGTAGCTCACGTGTGACGCGGTCTCTCACCTGTGTGCCTGCTGTGCTCCTCCCACCACACCTGTAAGATTGACACGGCCGCACCTGTGACGCGGTCGTAGACGTCAGCAGCAGACTCGCCATCGGGGAAGCGGTAGAAGAAGCGCCCATAGCTCAGCCGCACCTTCTTCTCCCTCCTCATCTTCTCCCTGTCCTGGAAGTTGCCTGCAGGCCGGCGGACCAGTTTGGGCCAGGGGAAACATGGGCAGCGCATGTGTGGATGCAGGATACAAAGAGACGGGGAGGATGTGACCGATGTGCGTAGCTCAGCCGCACCTTCTTCTCCCTCCTCATCTTCTCCCTGTCCTGGAAGTTGCCAAAGACCCACAAGTGCCAGGGGAAGCATGGGGAAAACACGAGTGATGCAAGCGAGGATGCAGAGGGGACACGAGATGGGGAGGACGTGAGGGATGGTGATAGGGAGAGTGAAAACTGGGAAAGGAATGGAGGGAGGGAGGGAGGGAGGGAGGGAGGGAGGGAGGGAGGGAGGGAGGGAGGGAGGGAGGGAGGGAGGGAGGGAGGGAGGGAGGGAGGGAGGGAGGGAGGGAGGGAGGGAGGGAGGGAGGGAGCAGGTGGTGGAAAGGAAACAAGGACGCAGAGGAGAGGGATGTGCAGCAGAGCGAGTGCAAAGTGAGTGTGTGCAAAGTGAGTGTGTGCAAAGTGAGTGTGTGCAAAGTGAGTGTGTGCAAAGTGAGTGTGTGCAAAGTGAGTGTGTGCAAAGTGAGTGTGTGCAAAGTGAGCGTGTGCAAAGTGAGTGTGTGCAAAGTGAGTGTGTGCAAAGTGAGTGTGTGCAAAGTGAGTGTGTGCAAAGTGAGCGTGTGCAAAGTGAGCGTGTGCAAAGTGAGCGTGTGCAAAGTGAGCGTGTGCAAAGTGAGTGTGTGCAAAGTGAGCGTGTGCAAAGTGAGCGTGTGCAAAGTGAGCGTGTGCAAAGTGAGCGTGTGCAAAGTGAGCGTGTGCAAAGTGAGCGTGTGCACAGTGAGTGCGTGCAAAGTGAGTGTGTGCAAAGTGAGCGTGTGCAAAGTGAGCGTGTGCACAGTGAGTGCGCGTACCAAAGTCTTGCTCGCGAATGCGGGGCTCCTCCCTCACACCCGCTATCCTCTCCCTCTCAAACGCCAATCCCACTCCCCTGAGCGTCTGAGAAAAACAGCAGCACCGGGGGAGGATATGGGGTGATAAACAAGAGAATGAGAATGTGAGGAAGGGGACTCTTCCACACCCGCTATCCTCTCCCTCTTAAACGCCAACCCCACTCCCCTGAGCGTCTGAGTGTAAAAGCGGGGGTGGGAGAGTGTACGGGGGTGGAAATCACAAGAATGGCACTCAGGGAAAGGACTCCTCGATGCCTGCCCTTTTCTCTCAGACGCGTAACCCATGCCTCCTAGAGTGTGAGTCTATCAATGAGGGTGCAGGAGAAGTAAATAAGTTGAGGGAATGAGAGGCAACAATGGAAGGCGAAAAATAGTAGTAGGCAGGGGTAGGTGGGGCGAAGAGAGATGAGGAAAAGCACAGAGAACAAAGCTGATAGATTGATTGTCTTGGATTGGAACCAATGGTAAAACTTTTCCACGCAATTCCACACAATGTCACAAAACCCACACAATTCTTATACACTTCCACACAGTCCCACACAATGCCATGCAAAATCCCACACAATCCCGCGCAATCCCACACAATCCCACACAATCACACACAATGCCACACAATGCAGTCACAGGAGGAGGTACCTGCAGAGTGCGCGTGTAGGGCGAGACGTAGAAGTAAACCTTGAAATCCTCCTCCCCATCCGCCTCTATCAGCTCGCGCAGCTTCCTCCCCCTCTCCACCGCCTGCTCCCATCCCTGCACTCCCAAGCACCCCACAAGTAGACCCACACAAGCAGGCAAGCAGAGGGGATGGGATGGCACACCCACGACACAGTGCCTTCCTGCCTACTGCCTTGGCGTAGGGGGAGTGAGGCATGAAAACAGGGGGAGCGAGGCATGAAAACAGGGGGAGCGAGTCATGAAAACAGGGGGAGCGAGTCATGAAAACAGGGGGAGCGAGTCATGAAAACAGGGGGAGCGAGTCATGAAAACAGGGGGAGCGAGTCATGAAAACAGGGGGAGCGAGTCATGAAAACAGGGGGAGCGAGTCATGAAAACAGGGGGAGCGAGTCATGAAAACAGGGGGAGCGAGTCATGAAAACAGGGGGAGCGAGTCATGAAAACAGGGGGAGCGAGTCATGAAAACAGGGGGAGCGAGTCATGAAAACAGGGGGAGCGAGTCATGAAAACAGGGGGAGCGAGTCATGAAAACAGGGGGAGCGAGTCATGAAAACAGGGGGAGCGAGTCATGAAAACAGGGGGAGCGAGTCATGAAAACAGGGGGAGCGAGTCATGAAAACAGGGGGAGCGAGTCATGAAAACAGGGGGAGCGAGTCATGAAAACAGGGGGAGCGAGTCATGAAAACAGGGGGAGCGAGTCATGAAAACAGGGGGAGCGAGTCATGAAAACAGGGGGAGCGAGTCATGAAAACAGGGGGAGCGAGTCATGAAAACAGGGGGAGCGAGTCATGAAAACAGGGGGAGCGAGTCATGAAAACAGGGGGAGCGAGTCATGAAAACAGGGGGAGCGAGTCATGAAAACAGGGGGAGCGAGTCATGAAAACAGGGGGAGCGAGTCATGAAAACAGGGGGAGCGAGTCATGAAAACAGGGGGAGCGAGTCATGAAAACAGGGGGAGCGAGTCATGAAAACAGGGGGAGCGAGTCATGAAAACAGGGGGAGCGAGTCATGAAAACAGGGGGAGCGAGTCATGAAAACAGGGGGAGCGAGTCATGAAAACAGGGGGAGCGAGTCATGAAAACAGGGGGAGCGAGTCATGAAAACAGGGGGAGCGAGTCATGAAAACAGGGGGAGCGAGTCATGAAAACAGGGGGAGCGAGTCATGAAAACAGGGGGAGCGAGTCATGAAAACAGGGGGAGCGAGTCATGAAAACAGGGGGAGCGAGTCATGAAAACAGGGGGAGCGAGTCATGAAAACAGGGGGAGCGAGTCATGAAAACAGGGGGAGCGAGTCATGAAAACAGGGGGAGCGAGTCATGAAAACAGGGGGAGCGAGTCATGAAAACAGGGGGAGCGAGTCATGAAAACAGGGGGAGCGAGTCATGAAAACAGGGGGAGCGAGTCATGAAAACAGGGGGAGCGAGTCATGAAAACAGGGGGAGCGAGTCATGAAAACAGGGGGAGCGAGTCATGAAAACAGGGGGAGCGAGTCATGAAAACAGGGGGAGCGAGTCATGAAAACAGGGGAGCGAGTCATGAAAACAGGGGGAGCGAGTCATGAAAACAGGGGGAGCGAGTCATGAAAACAGGGGGAGCGAGTCATGAAAACAGGGGGAGCGAGTCATGAAAACAGGGGGAGCGAGTCATGAAAACAGGGGGAGCGAGTCATGAAAACAGGGGGAGCGAGTCATGAAAACAGGGGGAGCGAGTCATGAAAACAGGGGGAGCGAGTCATGAAAACAGGGGGAGCGAGTCATGAAAACAGGGGGAGCGAGTCATGAAAACAGGGGGAGCGAGTCATGAAAACAGGGGGAGCGAGTCATGAAAACAGGGGGAGCGAGTCATGAAAACAGGGGGAGCGAGTCATGAAAACAGGGGGAGCGAGTCATGAAAACAGGGGGAGCGAGTCATGAAAACAGGGGGAGCGAGTCATGAAAACAGGGGGAGCGAGTCATGAAAACAGGGGGAGCGAGTCATGAAAACAGGGGGAGCGAGTCATGAAAACAGGGGGAGCGAGTCATGAAAACAGGGGGAGCGAGTCATGAAAACAGGGGGAGCGAGTCATGAAAACAGGGGGAGCGAGTCATGAAAACAGGGGGAGCGAGTCATGAAAACAGGGGGAGCGAGTCATGAAAACAGGGGGAGCGAGTCATGAAAACAGGGGGAGCGAGTCATGAAAACAGGGGGAGCGAGTCATGAAAACAGGGGGAGCGAGTCATGAAAACAGGGGGAGCGAGTCATGAAAACAGGGGGAGCGAGTCATGAAAACAGGGGGAGCGAGTCATGAAAACAGGGGGAGCGAGTCATGAAAACAGGGGGAGCGAGTCATGAAAACAGGGGGAGCGAGTCATGAAAACAGGGGGAGCGAGTCATGAAAACAGGGGGAGCGAGTCATGAAAACAGGGGGAGCGAGTCATGAAAACAGGGGGAGCGAGTCATGAAAACAGGGGGAGCGAGTCATGAAAACAGGGGGAGCGAGTCATGAAAACAGGGGGAGCGAGTCATGAAAACAGGGGGAGCGAGTCATGAAAACAGGGGGAGCGAGTCATGAAAACAGGGGGAGCGAGTCATGAAAACAGGGGGAGCGAGTCATGAAAACAGGGGGAGCGAGTCATGAAAACAGGGGGAGCGAGTCATGAAAACAGGGGGAGCGAGTCATGAAAACAGGGGGAGCGAGTCATGAAAACAGGGGGAGCGAGTCATGAAAACAGGGGGAGCGAGTCATGAAAACAGGGGGAGCGAGTCATGAAAACAGGGGGAGCGAGTCATGAAAACAGGGGGAGCGAGTCATGAAAACAGGGGGAGCGAGTCATGAAAACAGGGGGAGCGAGTCATGAAAACAGGGGGAGCGAGTCATGAAAACAGGGGGAGCGAGTCATGAAAACAGGGGGAGCGAGCCATGAAAACAGGGGGAGCGAGTCATGAAAACAGGGGGAGCGAGTCATGAAAACAGGGGGAGCGAGTCATGAAAACAGGGGGAGCGAGTCATGAAAACAGGGGGAGCGAGTCATGAAAACAGGGGGAGCGAGTCATGAAAACAGGGGGAGCGAGTCATGAAAACAGGGGGAGCGAGCCATGAAAACAGGGGGAGCGAGTCATGAAAACAGGGGGAGCGAGTCATGAAAACAGGGGGAGCGAGTCATGAAAACAGGGGGAGCGAGTCATGAAAACAGGGGGAGCGAGTCATGAAAACAGGGGGAGCGAGTCATGAAAACAGGGGGAGCGAGTCATGAAAACAGGGGGAGCGAGCCATGAAAACAGGGGGAGCGAGTCATGAAAACAGGGGGAGCGAGTCATGAAAACAGGGGGAGCGAGTCATGAAAACAGGGGGAGCGAGTCATGAAAACAGGGGGAGCGAGTCATGAAAACAGGGGGAGCGAGTCATGAAAACAGGGGGAGCGAGTCATGAAAACAGGGGGAGCGAGTCATGAAAACAGGGGGAGCGAGTCATGAAAACAGGGGGAGCGAGTCATGAAAACAGGGGGAGCGAGTCATGAAAACAGGGGGAGCGAGTCATGAAAACAGGGGGAGCGAGTCATGAAAACAGGGGGAGCGAGTCATGAAAACAGGGGGAGCGAGTCATGAAAACAGGGGGAGCGAGTCATGAAAACAGGGGGAGCGAGTCATGAAAACAGGGGGAGCGAGTCATGAAAACAGGGGGAGCGAGTCATGAAAACAGGGGGAGCGAGTCATGAAAACAGGGGGAGCGAGTCATGAAAACAGGGGGAGCGAGTCATGAAAACAGGGGGAGCGAGTCATGAAAACAGGGGGAGCGAGTCATGAAAACAGGGGGAGCGAGTCATGAAAACAGGGGGAGCGAGTCATGAAAACAGGGGGAGCGAGTCATGAAAACAGGGGGAGCGAGTCATGAAAACAGGGGGAGCGAGTCATGAAAACAGGGGGAGCGAGTCATGAAAACAGGGGGAGCGAGTCATGAAAACAGGAGGAGCGAGTCATGAAAACAGGGGGAGCCGCATGCGGCGGCATGCTCTTCGAGCCAGCGGCGGCTCTACTTCTTGTGTTGTATGCCAGTGACCGTTCCTTGTGTGAATAAGGGCTCTCAGTTGGTCCAGTGAGAGCAACCTTGGAGTCTGGAAAAACAAAGAAGCGGCCTGGCCCGCATGGCCATATCATGTCATGGTATGCTACCTTGCGCGTGTACGCCGCCTCGAGTGTACGCCGCCTCGAGTGTACGCCGCCTCGAGTGTACGCCGCCTCGTCCACGTTGCGAACATTGTGAACTCTTCTCCAGCAATGCACTTGTCATCGCATGACTTACCTTGCGCGTGAGCGCGATCTTGGAGTCGGGGATGCGCGTGTACGCCGCCTCGAGTGTACGCCGCCTCGAGTGTACGCCGCCTCGAGTGTACGCCGCCTCGAGTGTACGCCGCCTCGAGTGTACGCCGCCTCGAGTGTACGCCGCCTCGTCCACGTTGTGAACATTGTGAACTCTTTTCCAGCAATGCACTTGTCATCGCATGACTTACCTTGCGCGTGAGCGCGATCTTGGAGTCGGGGATGCGCGTGTACGCCGCCTCGTCCACGTTGCCCTCGCTCTGCCCATGCCGCACCAGAATGATGCGATGCGGCCTGCTCGTGCACACAGGTGGGGAAGGGTGGTGGGGAAGGGTGGTAGGAGAAAGGAATGCGGGGGATTGGTACGCCGCCTCGTCCGAATTGCCCTCGCTCTGCCCGTGCCGCACCAGAATGATGTGATGCGGCCTGCTCGTGTGCACAGGGGTGTGGAATAAGGGAGGGGAATGGGGGAGGGGGATGAGGGAGGGGAATCCAGGAGGGGAATGGGGAGGGGGAACGGAGGAACGGGATGAGGGAGGGGAATGGGGGGGGGATGGGGGAGGGGAATGGGGGAGGGGAATGGGGGAGGGGTATGGGGGGGGGGATGGGGGAGGGGAATGGGGGAGGGGAATGAGGGAGGGGAATGGGGGAGGGGTATGGGGGAGGGGAATGGGGGAGGGGAATGCGGAGGATATTCACGAGCCATGAAGGACGAGCCTTGCAGAATGTGGAATGCGGAGAATGTGTCAGTGCGAGCGTGCTTGGGAGCGGATGGTGTGCAAGATAGGGTGTGGGCGAGAACGGGTGTGGGAGAGAACGGGTGTGGGAGAGAACGGGTGTGGGAGAGAACGAGTGTGGGAGAGAACGAGTGTGGGAGAGAACGAGTGTGGGAGAGAACGAGTGTGGGAGAGAACGAGTGTGGGAGAGAACGAGTGTGGGAGAGAACGAGTGTGGGAGAGAACGAGTGTGGGAGATAGCATGCACGGGAGAGAGCAAGGTACATCCTGAGTACTGACAAACGAAGCGACTCTGCTGGGTCGCGGCCACCTCCAAATCGTTTCAGGACAAAAATGGCCGTCCACCATGCCACCTTGCGACCAACATGGACGCACAGAATGCAACAGAGACAAACACTCTTGTTTGCCGCAATTACGAACGCAAACACCATCCGCTCGTTGCGACAGAGCAATTCGGCTCGCGACGGTGACGACGACGACGCATCGACCGGCCAACGGTCACCTGAAGGCTTTGCCGTCGGGAGTGAGGATGTGCGAGATGGACGACTTCCGCGCCGCCCCTACTCCGCCCGAATCGTCCTCCTCCGCGTCGCTGTCCGCCTGCCACACCGGCGAGCCCCACCCGGGACTGTGTCCCCTCGGCTCGCCGCCTTCCGCAGCCGCTCGTTGACCAATTGGCGTGTCATCCGGCGCGGTCGTCGCATCCTCGCCGTCTGGTTTTCGTCGCGAGCGCCAGTTGAATCGCGGGTGCGAGTACCGACGTCCCCCCTGCGATCGCGCGGTGGTCGCAGATCTTCTGTCCAGGGCCCGGTGTGAGAAATGCTGGCCCAATTCGCTTCCTATTCTACCGCCTAGTCTCGGATTAATAGCACACGTTGCATGGCCAACGTGGCATGCCGCCGTGTGAGCCAATAGGATTCGGCGATCGAAGAAAGGACATGACAGATTGGCTGACCTAGAATGGGAGGCTGCAGTGATGGTACGAGAAATTGCGTTAGCAGATAATGGATTGGACACACATAATGACGCCATCCCGGTCGCGCAACGGGATTCGTCAGTCGGTAGCAGCAAGCGATGTATATCAGCCAATTAGCATGTTCACCAATTTACCCGCAAGATTCAAGTGATTGTAGCTAAGAACGTGGAATGGGGCAAGTACTTGTGGTGAGTTGAGACTCAGGACGGGCTCCTGTCAGACCTCAGGCCAAGAGCGGCTGTCCCGAAGTTGGTTTGGCGATGGGGAAAAGGCTGTAATGGCTGTAAGGGTGTGGGCCCAATCGAGTTTGATCGCGATTGATCTGATCGGGTCGGATCTGATCGGGTTGCTTGTGATCGCAGTGTCCGAGCCGCCCGATCAGAGATGTTTTTCAAACAAGATTTCCAGCGCCTGCGGAGCAAGCGCTGGACATTTACGTCACAATTTCGTCCCCATTCTAGCGAGATTGGCGACCAGACGTCACCTGGCGAAAGTTTCGTTTCCCTGAACACTGTAACTACTCGCAAGCGTCGCTCTGGGCCCCGATCACATGCAATCAGGTGATCGCCTGTGATCGAGGAAAATCGGCTTTGATCGGGGTAAAATCGGGTCTAATTGAGTTGGGGAGATCAACTGATCGCGATCAGCTGATTGCCCCTGATTGCATAAAATTGGCTTTTACCTTCCTAGAAATTGTGGATCGCATGTGATCGAGGCGATCAAACTCGATTGGGACTACGCCCTCATGGCTGCAAGTGGAGCTCGGCAGCTCTGACCTCAGAACCTGCCCTTGTATCGAATGTCTTGCTTGATTGGGTTTTCGCTGCTGGTTACCGCCTGCTGCCAAGATGAACGAATGCATCCAGCCCTTCGTTGGGAAGTTGTGAAGTCGAGCCGGCAAACCTGGGCGCCTTCGGATTGGTCCTCCCGATGGCTAGATTTCCGGGAATGCAATCGTGGGGTGTACGCTGCATTGATCGGACGACTCTGGGCTGCCTGTGGAGGTATGATCTGTTCGAGGGATGACTTGGCATGCTGAAGTCCACAAGTGAAGTTGGGTCGCTGCCACCCACACGTGTGTCTCGAAGTCCAGCGAACAAATTCGCAAGAGGGCGAATGGGCAAACGGTTCCTTTCATTCGCAGGAGCTGATTCCTGATTCCTGGATCGTGCCGACTCCCGTCTCGGTGCGCGCATGTTTCGGGACCAGCTTCCAGCAGGTTCGTTTTCGTAAGCTCTGAGGCGTTCGCCTCCCCACAAAGCCTACAAAAAGTCGTCATTCCTCGCGTTCTTTCACAAAGTCTCCTTCGTGATTGTTATTCGTCTTAGCAGCCTCCGAGCAACCTGCGTTCTATTGTGTAGTTCCCCTTCGCATCATCAACCCGCGAGCGTAATCTTTTACCATGCCTGACGAATTTGTCAACCGCGAGGATGAGCGGGTGCTGGGGCAGCAGACAGAAGGCCAGGAGGCTCGGCTGCTGGAGCACGTGACGAAATCAACGCCAGCCAACGACCCGCAAGCCGTGATCAACGCGATCGATGCGTATGCGTGGTCCAGCCGCGAGTTCTTCATGAACGTCGGCGACGTAAAAGGCGTCATCCTAGACGACGCCGTCCGCCGCGCGAATCCTCTCAGCGCAATCGAGCTCGGCGCGTTCTGCGGGTACTCGGCGGTTCGAATCGCATCTCATTTCTCCAGGCCGGGAGCGCGGCTGATTTCTGTCGAGCCGTGCGAACTCCGCTCGTCCATCGTTCGCGACATGGTCGCTCACGCGGGCCTCAGCGACAAAGTCACCGTCGTCACAGGGACTTTGCAAACCTCAACTGACGAAATTCGGCAAGCTGCGAGCAAGATTCCGTTCGATTTGGTCTTCATTGATCATTGGAAGGAGCTCTATATGCCCGACCTCCTGTTCCTAAAGGAGCAGAAACTCATCGGGCCTGGAAGTGTCATCGTGGCTGATAACATTTGGATTCCAGGATGTCCGGAGTATCTGGAATACATGGAGAAGAGCACTGAATTCGTGACGGAGAAGAGGGAGACAATGATAGAGTACTCGACTAAACACAAGGACCTGGTGCTCATCTCAACCTACTCCCCTAAGGACGAGTAGGGGGGGTGCCGAAAAAGGGGGACAGCTTTGTTGGTAGGAACGAGCCACACCCTTGCCAAGCAGCTTGCACGAAGTTTATGTATGAAGTGAGTAATTTTGTAAGATTTGTTTGATGAATGTAGGTAATATTTCTAAGCAGCTCAATTGTGACAAAGGTGGTGTGGAACGCTTGCTGCAGCTGACCCCCACAATGTTTCGCAGGGGCGAGGGTTGTTCGGAGTCTCGCCTAAGTACTCCCGAAATTTCGCGAATCAGTTTTGTGAGGTCGCTCGTCGCTCGTTCGTTGCAGTTCGTTTTTCACCTCACCACCCACACCAGCTTCCACCAGTTTGGTTTTGTGAAATCTGTCGTCCCAAGAATCTGAGTCCAGCTTTATTTTTCTACGAGTCACCTAAATCCGCTGTCGGGTTACCGCGTGCGAGCGCTGGGAACCCCACTGCAGCCTCCAAGCCACCAATCGCGATTTATTTTGTACTTTCTTAGCATCATTAATCTACGAACTTAATCGTCAACCATGCCCGACGAAGCTGCGAACCGCGAGGAGGAAAGGGTGGTAGGGCAGGAATCGGACGGCCAGGAGGCTCGGCTGCTGGAGCACGTGACGCAATCAACGCCGCCAAACGACCCGCAATCAGTGATCAACGCCATTGATGCGTACGCATGGTCCAGCCCGGAGTTCTTTATGAACGTCGGGGACGTCAAGGGTGCTATTCTAGACGACGCCGTCCGGCGCGCGAATCCTCTCAGCGCAATCGAGCTCGGCGCGTTCTGCGGGTACTCGGCGGTTCGGATCGCATCGCAATTCTCCGTTCCGGGAGCTCGGCTGGTTTCCGTGGAGCTTAGCGAATTCCGCTCGTCCGTCGTCCGCGGCATGGTCGCGCACGCGGGCCTCAGCGACAAAGTCACCGTCGTTACGGGGACTCTTCAAACCTCTACTGACGAGATTCGGCAAGCTGCGAGCAAGATTCCGTTCGATTCGGTCTTCATCGATCATGTGAAGCACCTCTATCTACCCGACCTCCTGTTCCTTAAAGACCAGAAGCTCATCGGGCCTGGAACTGTCATCGTGGCTGATAACATCGTTTATCCGGGATCGCCTGATTATCTGGAATTCATGGAGAGGAGCGCTGAATTCGTGACGGAGAAGAGGGAAACGATGCTGGAGTACTCGACCAAGGTGAAGGATCTGGTGCTCGTTTCAACCTACTCCCCTAAGAACGTTTAGGAGTCTAGGGGAGCTGAAAGGGAGCAGAGTTTCAGCTGTGAGTTCGTGACGGAGAAGTGGGAGACGATGCTGGAGTACTCGACGGTGGTCAAGGATCTGGTATCAATTTCAACCGACTCCCCTGTGAAGGGGGGGCACTTTCAGGAAATAAGATGGCAAGCATGCCAGCATTATAGCATTATGCAAGTATGGTAGTAGAATTCAGCGGCATTTTACATGTAGTTTTGTCAAATGTTGAACATTGATATGATAGGCACCTTCTAGGGTTGCTCATTTGTACCCCATTCGTTTCTATTCCAATCATTCCGTTGTTCGCTAACTTTAAGATGGTATCATGAGTAGGTGTCGATCCTCTCGCCTAGCCTAGCCTAGCTCGCGCCCTAGCGCCCTCCGCGCCCTTGCGCCCTAGCACACTCCGCGCCCTCCGCGCCCTCCGCGCCCTTGCGCCCTAGCACCCTCCGCGCCCTCCGCGCCCTCCGCGCCCTCCGCGCCCTCCGCGCCCTCCGCGCCCTCCGCGCCCTCTGCGCCTTAGCCACCGCGCCCTCCGCGCCATCTCCGCGCCTTAGCGCCCTCCTCCTCCGCGCGTTAGCGCCCTCCGCGCCCCTAGCCTGCGCCCCTAGCCCGTCGCCCAGGCCCACGCCCTAGCCCGTCGCCC